GGGAGAATTGAGAGAGAGAGAGACAAACACACACACACACACAAAGAGGAGAGGGGAACTGCTGGGGCCGGCCCGTATTGAAGAATATGGCCGAATTTACCCGGGCTGGCCGTATATCGGCGTATAACGCGCACACATCATTTGCCCCCTATTTTCAGGGGGAAAAAGTGCGTGTTATACGCCGATAAATACGGTAAGTCTTTTCTATACATGGTACTTTTCTTCTACAAACATATATTGCTTACCCATATAGCAAAACACTGAAGGCTGTGTCTACCATCAAAAAAAGCAATTTTCTATCCCCTTAAATAAGCAAAGAAGCCCGTTGAGGCCATAATACACAGGATTATTAATTATGATCATTGTTAAATGTGAGACTTGGATCCTCTGAAAACAGTATAAGATCAAGTTAATTGCCATGGACTTTAAGATTGTAGTATTATTATTTTTTTGGAACAGTGTAAATTGCTACAGCAGCATTATGGGGATGTTTTAAAGAATGACTATATTCAAACCCAGAACTCCAGTGAGCTTATTCAAAAAGTCTTTGTTTTCTTTCTTCATTTTAGTCTTGTTTAATTTTTATGTGAATCATTATTTTTAAGTGTGTTCTGAAATGCTATAGGGCCGCGGTGGCGAACCTATGGCAAGCGTGCCAGAGGCGGCACGCAGAGCCCCCTCTGTGGGCACACGCACCGTTGCCCCAGTCCTAGGCCTCCAGCTGGGTTTTATAAAACCTTTTCGCTTTAGGCCTCCGCCGCCGTGTGCAAAAAAAAAAAGAAAAGGTTCAATCAGTCAATTTCAACTTCTTGCGGGGGAAAAAAAGATCTCGTAAAGTTGGAATTGATTGATTGAACTTTTTAATCACACCTAGTCTGCCATTACCACCGCAGCCACTCCCACACAATGGGCCATGCCCACCCGGCACCCGATGATACATAAGTGGGTTTTGGGTTGCAGTTTGGGCACTCGGTCTCTAAAAGGTTTGCCATCACCGGTATAAGGTTTCCTGCCTGAGCAGGGGGTTGGACTAGAATACTTCCAAAGTCCTTTCCAACTCTGTGGACTTGTGGACTTCAACTCACTCGGGCTAAAATAAACCAAGCTGGAAATTCCTATTCAGAACAGCAGCATGAATGCAAAACTATTTTTTTTTAAAATCAAATGACTTAATCTTGATAATTTTCATTAGTGCCAACCCTCCCCCCACCAAATTTGAAATATTGCCAATCTTTTCATTTCTAATTAATACAAGTTTAGCATACCAAAGATTTTACTCAAATGTTATTCAGCATCAATTTGATATTTTGGCAAAATGAGGTGTGTGTAATTTATGCAAACACAAAATAAATTAAATCCGCAGTAACACAGCAAAGATCAGAAGTTGAGCTGAAGTCTGTATTGGATCAGTAATATTAGAAATGCTGTTCTTGGAACATGAGCCCTAGAAATGGTCCCAGATGGTCCCAGATGTGTGAAATTTACAGCTTCTCCCAGGAAAGAATAAAGACATTTTGCCTGTGTGGGGCAGAAAGATTGCTCCAGTGCCCAAGGGAGAAATCTAACATACTTCCCCAGCAGAAAAAAAAATGCAACCGAAAACTTACTGCATATTCAATGATATTCCAAATCTGTCTAACGGTTAAGTGAAATGGCATGACACACAGCACATTTCATATGACTGTGGTCAAGTGTCACACTGATTGCAAAGTTCAAAATGACTAGTAACAAGCAAATAGGCAAACAACTTCTGAAAGCATCAACTGAATTGCAGGAAGCTGAGAAATGTTGCTCATGTTTGCTGTCTTTTGTAGACTTGGCCAACATCTGGCTTTGTTTTCTTTAGAACAGGGGTCTTCAAACTTCGCCCTTTTATGACTTGTGGACTTCAACTCTCAGAATTCTTCAGCCAGCATATGCTGGCTGAGGAATTCTGGGAGTTGAAGTCCACAAGTCATATAAGGGCCAAGTTTGAAGACCCCCTGCTTTAGAATGACATTCTCCCAGATTTCACCACTATAAAGCTAGGTTCACAAATTGTACTCCTTTAGAAAAACGAATAAGCCACAGCTGGCTTATCTGACTAAATGAAATCAAACCAAACCAAACCAAGCCATGCTGTAATGTAGAATGTGAAGCCAGCCATTGTGCATGAAACTGCTTTATATCAAAGCAGTTTATCCTAGTGTAAGATGAGACTTACTTACCTTGCACTGAAATAAACCCCAGATATATTTTTTTAAAAAACCTAGCTCAGGGGTAGGCAACCTTGGCTCTTTTATGAGTCGTGGACTTCAACTCCCAGAATTCCTGAGCCAGCCATGTTGGTTTTTTCCAGGTGCTTTGCACTGCTCTGAACAACTTCAGTAAGGGTGGTGTAGAAATACTCTTTTTAAAAGCCATGCTGGCTCAGGAATTCTGGGAGTTGAAGTCCATGAGTCATAAAAGAGCCAAAGTTGCCTACCCCTGACCCTAGCCTATTAAATTGCTAGTAGTGGCTTTTAAAAAGGGTACTTCTACACCACCCTTACTACAGCTGTTCAGAGCAGTGCAAAGCACCTGAAAAAAACAGCATCACACTTTAGCCATTAAAATATTCAGAAGATATTTTCTGGAAGAAAAGCACATGTCACATGTAACATAATAGGCACCAGAGATCAGCTGAAACAGCAGCACAGTTCTAGAAATACATTCGATCCCCCCAAACACAATGTTGTTTTAATATTTAATATTTTATTAACTTCTGTCTGTTGATTTATATCATATCATCTTGCTGATATTTGTGGAAAGGCAGTTCAGAAATAATCGCAATAAGGACACGTACATAGCTGTAGAGCAGCTCTAAAAATAATTAGATCCACAACCACAATGTTGTTTTAATATCTAATATTTTATTAACTTCTGTCTGTTGATTTATATCACACCATCTTGCTGATATTTGTGGAAAGGCAGTCCAGAAATAATCGTAATAAGAATAGCTACATAGCTGGAATAGCAATGGGAAGGTCTTGTGCAGTCTTATTCTCAAGATCTTTCTTGT